GCATCCACAACTCCTGTTACTTTCAGGATCGAGACCAGGACCTTCGTTCTTGCGCGCGAACGCCTAATCTCTGGACGTGACCAGTGGAATACAACGCTGTCGAGCGTAGGTAGTAACTACCGAAGACAAATGGGTGAGGTCGCGCAAAATCCCTGGATTGATCAGAGTTAGACATTAACACTGTTGGTTGCGGGCATAATGATCCAGAGTTTAAGCAATCGCACGAAAGACCGAACATCCTGAGTCCGAATCCTGCGAGTAGCAGCAGACGTGGATGTACACCGTTGATGAGTTCCATACCAAGATGAAACGGCCGTCGTCCAGTGCTTTCAGGTTTCTAATGGTGGTCTAACAATGATTGATTCATGATTTCAATGTGTAAAAACACTAATATCCATAATTCTAAATGAAACAAAGATAAGAAACTTTCAACCACTTAACGGCCAAAACGTCGTCTTATTTAATCAATGAACATTTCATATCACCACCAAACTATTTGAATGTATGATTTACACAGGACAATTCTAAATATATCAAACAGAAATTTTATACTCTACACAGCAAAAAGACAGTGAAATCTGTCGTATTGTTGAATAAATACAATACAGATTGATAAGAGTATCTAATCGCAGTCATCATCATCAACAACAACAACGTAGAACTTTGCACGTAAGTACAGCAGTTCAAGTTGCCATACCACATGAGCACAGAGACGTGACTGTCAATTCAAATCTCATAGTAGTAGAGGTAGTAAAAGTATTAGAAGTAATCAGAGAGATCAAGGTTCGAAGATATTATTCAAGAAGTATACATAATTCAGTGAGGTAAATTTAGAAAGAGAAAGATAGAGGTGATGAAGGAATTCACAAGGTTAGAATTTCATAGAACACAAAGCATGAATGCACTTGCACCATTGCAATCGAATCGTAGTAGAGGCGTTAACAATTTATTCACAAATCAAAAACATCTTATTCATTTTATTTCACTTTGATAATTATGATGTGCTATCATCGACAGTTTGACATAATTAAAAGCCTAATTTATTTTGATTTAATTGAAAAATGCCTGTTATATGTTATGAAATAGACTGGATAATAATGAAACCTTGTGTGCGCGATCGCTTGCTCGCTCGCTCTCTCGCTTGCACACACACACACACACGCACATACACAATAGACTTCCGCTCTTGAAATTGACCACCATATATGCATACATACCAGGTAAGTAAGTGTACATGAAATATCATTGTTTGTTCACATAGTACGCGTATAGCAAGCATATACGTTAGTGAATCCATTTTCATATATATACAGGTCATAGAAAATAAATTCAATTATTGGTTTGATATAATGTATGCTTGATATAAACTTATTACATATTACAATATAATATGTATATTAATCCACTTTCCTCTAATATCTATCTATCTATCTATCTATTTGTCTATCTATAGAATGATAGAAATGAGAATTATATTTTCATTTACATTAATTAAATGAATTTATTCAATCTAATTGGTAATCATTGATATTGACAACTGAGATGGTGGAGAAAACTTGTAGCTCAGGTGGATGATTGTGGTGATGTTTCGTTCTCTGAGCGCAGAGAACGAAACATCACCACAATATTGACAACTATTTTGAAAATCATTAATCGTTATTTTCTCTCTTTGTATTGGTTGATTGAATCTTCTCCTAATGATAATTAGAACTGTAAATGATTGGTCACTTTTTTGGGGGGCGTATGTTTGGATCTTGTGTGGATCGCCTCGATCATAAGCCAATGAGCAGAGATAGATGATAGCTAGCTGTGGAATCCAAAATGCGAGTTTCCCTTCAAATGCCATCGTGTTATTCACTCAGCTATTGAGTTCATATAAGGCTATTGGTTTTTACAATGGAGTGCAGTTTAAAACATTTGTATCGGCAGAGGGTTCGAGTCTCGAAAGGAACAGAATGCAGGTACATTCAGTTGACGAGTCTCAAATAGGACGGAATAGACTTACTGGATTCCACTGCTAACCAACATTCATCTTTGCTGATAAAATTTTCTTTTACCTACAAGGCTTTCGAGACGATTACTTTAAGCTTTAAATGGTATTAATCACAGATTGGAAGTATTGGATAGCTGCTCTGTCCAAATATGAGGCTTTCTCAGCTATATGGGCTGAGAATCGTACCATGGATCGATTCAAAACTCGAAACAAACATTAGATCACTAGAACCGCTAGGCTGAAAGGGCCAATGGTACAATTCCAACTTGAATCAGTTTTCAATATAGCCCGACAACCAGTAAATATCAATGGTAAAAACTATATTATTGTCTAGATCCCAACAGAGGATTTTTATGAGAACTTCTGAAACATTTTGAAGTAATTCATTTGTAAGCTAACTATTATAGTTTGTAGTTGAAGGGATTTTAGGTCGTACTCATTACAAATTGATAGCTAGTGACTGTGAAGTTTCGACGTGTTGTGAGTGTGAAACAGCCGTTACAAGAATAAGAATTTGACGATCGTCGTTCTATGTACTAGAATGACTGAAGCCTTAACCATACCATTGGATTCTAACCCAATGGTTCTAAGTGTTTTGCGCTAGCCTCAAGACTTAAAGGTTTGAGTCTAATCTGTGATGAGATTGTGGGCGCACATTCGTGAAAAGTCTCATATTGACATGAAACAGCTGTCTAGTGCTATCTAGTGCATATCAAGTACATATTCCCTCATTATCTCAGAGAAATAATGAGAAGAAAGTATATTTGACTTAACCAGATAAAGAAACTATGATATTCACTTACAATTCAACACAAATGTCTCCATACACTACCTGAATTATAATTTTTAACACGTACAAGTATCAGCCTCCTTAGAAAATTACGCTAAATCGATAACTAATAACTTAAAATAATGAAAATGTCTTGTAGCCTAAGATGAATGATCTTGTCGGTGTTTCTTTCTCTTCACATAAAAAAACAAGAAATATACGCAGTTGAATAAAACTCTCAATTAAAAAATGTAACAACTAATCACACTTTTCCTAGAGAATTAAACAGTTTTCATCATCATTACACATCAATAAATTCAATTAGTTGAAAGTTGACTGTCGAAATCAATGTTTCTAAACTTTAATGTGGATTCCGTGTTTTGTTTGGTTCAATGTTGGATGAAGAAGGAAGATGAAAGAAGAAGAAAAAAATTTTATAACGACAAATGAAAATTTGGATCGATTAATTTGATTGAATTTATTTTTTTGAAGTTCTAATTTATACTTAAATTTAAAAACTTTTCAGTTTTATATAAAAGTCTTATGGTTTTCATCATGCAGTTGTCAGTATTGTTGAGTTTTATTGAAGTGATGAGACGACTATTGTTAGTTAAGCATTAGAAACCTGGAAGCACTGAAGGACGGCTGTTTCGTCCTGGCACGATAATCATCAGCAGTGCACATTCACAAACCACACTCGAGGAGATAGAACCCAAGACCTTCGGTCTCGTGCGCAAACACTTAGCCTCTAGACCATTGTGCCAGAATCTAATGGTGTTTATATCTAACTTTAACCAATCCAAGCTATTAGACAACCTCATCTATTGTCTTCTGGTAGGCAACAGCCTACACTTGACAGAATTGAACTCCACTGGGCACGACTTCTCACTACAACTCGGGGAACTTCCTCATGAAGCTAGTCACTAGTGAGCAGACAGACAGAAGGATTTGAATTTGACCAATTTGGTTTCGAGTGCTGTTACGGGTATGAGGGCGATTGTCACTTCCCGGCTGCCCACACCGTGGAAGGTTGTCTCTTGAGGAACCTGAAAAGGAAGGTATATTAGCGTTGGTCTTAGAGACCTGGGTGTGTGACCGCAGAGCCCAAGGGACAACTGCTTGAGGCCGGTCACGCACGGCTCTTGAAAGCACTTAGTGAGCACCCTTACCGACAGAGATGGAAATCAGTGAGGTAGGGTGAGGTGTGACATTTTTAGGGTCGACATCCTCTAACCCTTCCTTCCTTGTGAGAGGGCAGCATCGCTGCAGATGCTGGTTGTCCGAGGGAAACACCTTACTGCTGTCACAGCCCTCTGCAGTCAGCAGTACGACTTCGCTGTCAGACCTTGAGTAGTTGCTTTTAGTCTCATCGTTCTCCAATCGACCTACCTGGAATGGTAGAACCTTCAGGAACATATGTTCCAGCCAGTATAGCTCGGTTGGGTGATCACGATAGGCAAGCCCGACCACCACGTCAAGGTATCAGCTACGGTCGGGACTAGTGAGCACATTTTTATGACTTTCATTATACACCGTTGGATGCCAGTTCATTGTCTAGATGTTAAGTGTTCACGTGCGAGCCCGAAGGTCTTTAGTCTCATTCCCTCGAGCGCGGCTCAACGATGTGCACTGCTGATGAGCCAGTCATACACCAGGACGAAACAGTCATCCAATGCTTCCGAGCTTCTAATGACAATCCTAACAATGACTGATTCATCATTTCAATAAAACGACATTTATATATATATATATATATATATATATATATATATATATAAACTGGATTTTAACAGACAAAAATAAAAAAGGAGAAAGTTTCACATATAATTAAAATATTTTCAGATAGAGTTTTGGAGGTTTGTGTTTTTACACATTTGAAATCATCAATCAATCACTGTTAGACCACCATTAGAAGAAATCTGGAAGCACTGGACGGCCGTTTCGTCCTGGTATGGGAATCATCAGCACAAGACCGGAGGTTCCGTGTTTGAATCCTGCGAGGTGCAGGAATCGTGGATGCGAACTGCCACTGATGAGTCCCATACCAAGACGAAACAGCCGTCCAGTGCTTCCAGGTTTCTGATAGTGGTCTAACAATGATTGATTGATTGATGATTTCAAATGTGTAAATATAATTAACAGTAGATAATAGTAAATATCAGATTAAGCAAACAGAAAAACCATAACATCTATGTTGGTACAATTTGATTTTTTTCATTAAACATAAAGATAACTTACCCAAAACTAAGATTCGGTGCATTTTCATGATGTCCAGGAGCGCATATATGATAAACAGTGAAATTTTCAGTGATTACACGCATTTCCGGATTATTGAATAGACTAAGAAACGAGGTATCTATAATTTAAAATTAAAACATAATATTTAGTGCAATAAAATAATGAAATGTGATATGTGAAAATTATTGTAATAGCCGATTGATTGATTCAAATTTTCGATCAGTTCAATACCACCACTCAATCACTCTGATAAATACTATCCAGGACGGGAAAAAAACGAATCACGAAAATTAATAAATAGGAGATCAATGATTAAGGCATTTTGCGTTTTCGTGATGTGTAGGGAAAAAAAACGTGTGTCTACTATTTTGATTTAGTGCATTTTTTTACTAACAGTACTGACCGAATGAGGAAAACTAGTAAGTCGATAGATCAATCAATCAATAGCAACGTAGAACTTCGTACGTACGTACCAACATCAGTTCGTGTTGCCATGCCACATTGGTACGGAGATGTTATAGTTAATTCAAGAATTAGAAGTAATCGGAGAGATTAGGGTTCAAAAATATTATTCAAGAAGTAGAATCTGGTGAAATAAATTTGAAAAGAAAAAGATAAAGTGATGAGTAGTTCGGAAGGTTAGGATTTGAGAGAACACAAAGAATGAATGAACCTGAGCCATGGCAAACGGTTTTGAACCATGTCATTCAGGGTCTCTAACTATCGATTATTATCATCTCGCGGACCCCAACCAGGTAGCCTACACTTACTGACATGACTCAGTTCAGTTGTCAGTAACTTCATGGATTTCTGCCATGTTTTAGTTTGGCCGCCCCTAGCTTTTGTCCAACCTATTCTTACACCACTAAACATAGCTCGACGAGACAGTCGGTAGTTAGGCATACGTAACACATGTTCCAACCACCTCAACTGATGAAGTTTCCTTATTTCATCTATTGACCTGCCATCCTTACATAGGACCCGTTTCGTAACAACTGCATTGCTTACTCGGTTGTCACATGATACAAGAACAATGCTTCGGAGACTCCTATGATCAAAAACAAGCAACCTACGAATAGAGTCGATAGATGATGTTATTAAACTAGAACGAAGATTAAATTAACAGATTTTCGTTCGTATTGTATAAGTATTAACTCTGCCTGGAACTCTGCTATGGTTACTGCCAGAACCAAGCCTGGATAAAGGAGGAGGATTGGGCATGATGGTGTTAGTGACCACAATACCGCAGAAATCCAACTCACTGGTCGGCGGCCTATGCTCTCATTAGGGGAACAGGCGTAAGGAAGTAAGTAAGTAAGTAATTGTATACATTATTGAATAATATAGATTTTACATATTTAGATTCCTTTTGACTTAAACTTTTATGTTTGGTACAATTCATCAAACCTTCATTTATTCCCAATCACTTCTGGGCTTGTTTATGATATGATGTAGCCTAATCTGCTTGTAATACGCATTACATTTGTCTGGAATTACAAATACAATGTAGGCTGATGCCTTACTAACTGAGACTCAAAGGCGGGAAACAGAGAGAAATTTTTTTTTAAAATTGTAAACCAATAAGAATTAAGCTATTGACTCAAGGTCATCAGCGCACAAAACGCATTCCAATTGGTGTGTTTTTTCTATACATCCATGTGAATTGAATTATTCGCAGTCGAAAGTGCTAATAGATATTTACGCTTCTTTTTTTCTTGAAAATTCTCATATATATAAGAAACACACCGCCATCATTTTTCTATTACAATGAAACAAAATTTATTAAAAGTTTCAAAATCAAAAACCAATCAATCAGATTTTTGTAGACGAACGGTAAAATGGATTCAACTGAGAGATGGATTAAAGCATGAATTAGTTTTATTGAAGAATCGGTTACATAAATAATCATTAATTAAAAAGATTTTGTTTTAAATGATACTTAACTCAACTAGAATAATACCGTTGGATCAATTTACTTATCTGAACAGTTGAGCTTAGCAGCTTCTTTATGAAGTTGTTATTAGCTAGTATAAATGCACAAAATTTACACGTGATAACTAGCATACATTGCTGTGAAATAAATAAGAAAACGAAAATTGAAAAGTATACTACTGATGCTCAATAAGTCGTCTAAGCCTACTTTGTACACAACGAAGACACGATCATTGAAGTGTTGTGTCACAGTCGATTGAACTGCAGAACAAGAAAAGATTATTCCAAATTCATTAAATTCAATAACAGTTGGATGACAGAGTGATAAGGATGATAAGGATTAGAAACTAAACGACAATATGGAAATAGTCTATGGAGAAAGATCAACAATGTCAGTGTTTATAGCTCACGTCACTGCATAATACTAGCCCGACTAATGGTCTTATATACCATTTTTAAAAAGATACAGGTTCTATGTTTTGGTATTATCATGTTCCTTTAAATCTATTGATGAATAATGAAGGTAACTGTTATGCTCGTCAATTGATATGCTTGAAACTATTACGAATTTACATTTGTCGGTAAACGAAAGCGAAGACAAATGATCCAATGATACGATAGGCTACACTAATCCAAGAGTCCCAAGGCCCCACTAAGTAGAGGAAGAAGTCTTGACAAGACGTAGAAAGTGTATTCTACAAGCACCCACAATATATGAGGTTAACAAGCACATAAATCGAGTTTATTTATACATGATAGAAACGTCCTTGGGAAAGCCACAAAAATAGCGTACTAAAATAATACATTAACCAGTGATAGTTAAGGATTTTCCTGGTGGGATATGTAATCTAAAGGTCAACTGATCAGCCTATACGTGAAAGCATAAAATCCAAAATTAGGACCTTTATCAAGTGAGTTCTGGCGATCTAACGTCCCCAACAGTAACGGTAATCGGAACCGATGATAGCGATGCAGAAACATTTATCAGTTTGCATCGCACTTATTCAGTCATTTACAATGTAGAACTTCGTACGTAAGTACATCAGTTCAAGTTCCCATACCACATTAGCACAGTGACATAATTGTCAATTCAAATCTCATAGTAGTAGAGATGTAGTGAACGAGAACACAGGTGGGGGCAATCGAATTGTATTTAACGAAAAATTACAGAGTTACTCAGTAAAATTGGAAAACCATATCGTAAATCGTTCATTTGCAAAATATCAGTTCATCATATCGAACTGGACTGTTCCTGTTGCAAAACATCAATCCATTGTCACTATTCATGCATTTCATACAAATTCCATTGTTTTCTAACTCTTCCTTTCTTGATCTTCCCCCATCTTCTGCTGCCAGACATTACGTTGACACTCACGTTATATACTACTTATAAGTAGCTCACACCACAGAGGTAGTAAAAGTATTAGAAGTAATCGGAGAGATTAGGGTTCGAAGATGTTATTCAAGAAGTATAATTTAGTGAGGTAAATTTAGAAAGAGAAAGATAGAGGTGATGAGGAATTCAGAAGGTTAAGAGTTGAGAGATCACAAAGAATGGATGCACCTGTGTCATTGCAAACGATTCTAAGGCATGTCATTCAGGGTCTCTAACCACTTATTCGGACGGTTTAATATCATGGATCAAGTTTGATTCTGTGTACTTGCATCCTTTTCAATGACCTCGAAATTTTCGTTTGTGTTGCAACAAATTAGACTGGCACATAATTATATGACACCCTGACATTATTGTTTTTGAAATAATAAGGCATATTTAAAGCTTAGAATGAGGATGTTCGAGGTGTGTTTCATTCTGTACTAGATATCTTAGACTTAAATTCTCATTGTCTTCCAAGACAACATAGAACATACATCGGAAATAAATTTTTTCCTAAGTATTTGTTGATGACCAAACTATACAGTCCAGAGAATACAACACCTGTAAAGACGCAGTGGTTTTCCTGCCTAATCAATGCATTTTAATGAATAAGATTAGATAATGGATAACTTATTTGTCTACCATCAGCTCAGGCTATTAATAAAGACGTTAGTGTATAGGACATTACTTACAGAATGACTTATAAGTAGTATGCAACAGACTGTCACCCAGTACCTACTACTGGAGAGAAGAATTTCGGATAGGAATGCATAGCGTAATCAGTGTATTTTGAAATACTAGGAGATATGTGAAAGAAAATAACCAATAATCAGATTATTTTGCGAATAGAAGTTTGAATATAAGGCGAACACATTTTGCTAGTACAATGTATCTTATTTTGGATAACACTTATTCCATCAGGTCTTAACATCTTACATTAAAAAACTTTTTGAGGTTATGAATCTAAGACACTGTCAATTAAAACAAGCCTTAATATTAACATCACAGGCTAAGAACTCAATCAGTCAGTCAGCAACACGTGGAACTTCGTACATACCTACGTACATCAGTTCAAGTTGTCATACCACATTAGCACAAAGATGCAACTGTCAAATCCCATAGTAGTAGATATAGTATAAGTATGAGCAGTAATCGGAAAGATTAGGGTTTGAAGATATTATTCAAGAAGTATAATCTAGTGAAATAAATTTGAGAATAGAAAGATGGTCATGAGCAAATCATAAGAATAGTGTTTGAGAGAAAACAAAAGAAAGGATACATATGTACCATTGCAAATGTTTTTGAACCATGTCATTTACAGTCTCGAACCACCGGTTATTATTCTCTCGTGGACCTCAACCTGATAGTCTACACCTACCAACATGACTCACTCCCCTTGTCAGTGACTTCATGGATTTGTGCCATATGTTTTGGTTTGGCCGCCCCTAGCTCTCTTCCAACCTACTCCTACACCACAAAACATAACTCGTCGGAGCTACGTAATTCAATTAATTTTATATAATGTTAAGCACAAAAATTTAAAAAAAAAACGAATGAATATTTCACACACTTGATGATAAGGAATGAAAAAAACGGTATAACTATGCTACTTATTTCGATGGAAAAGTAGTATACTATGACGGTAGTAAATTACACTCAATAACAGTCAACAACAACAACAACAACAACATAATTCGATGAACTAGATTCAATATAGATCCAGGTCACTTGTTGTTGAATTCACTTCACATTATTTTGTTTTCCCGCTTTATCAAGAACACAATTGAATTGAAGGTGTGTGTGTGTGTGTG